AACACCAATTTGGCAATAGGTATCTGCGCTTCTATAAGCCGCATGGGCAATGTGTATATTTTTTAATCTTAAAAAATAAATGTAAATGCTATAGTCACTTTTTTAAAGGTAGAAAAGGCAAATATCTTAAAAAAGGCAAAAAAAAGGCAAATATCTTAAAAAAAGCAAAAAAGGCAACATCAAATGTGTATATATGGAATCAGGGAAAGCTAAATCGTGGACATTCTTAATCGAATATACTCTATCTCTTTAGCAGAAAAAAGGCAATTTCCATAAAAACCGTTCCCTGGTCATGAGATTCGGGCAGGCAAAGATCCTTGAAACTCTACCGGATAATCTAGGACCACAAATTTTCTACAAGAATCGCAGAGAGAAAAGCATGGAAAGGTTCCACAGACCTAAACCTAAAGTTTACGACTATATGCACAGATGATTCCATGCTTAACGAAAGAGTGGGTAGCGGGTTTTACTCTGGTGAACTCGCACTAAACAGGACGGCCTATCACTATTTGTTCTGACAGCCAAGCTGCTATTAAATCTCTAAAATCGAATGGAGCAGCATCAAAGTAGCCATAGAATGCTGAAGGATTTTCAGCCTGCTGCCATAAAAATGGTACTTGACGAGCTGACATGGAGAGGCTGCAGCTGCTGAGACGAGGAAAAGGTGGAGAGCATCGAAAACTATCCCCGCCCTAGCCAAACGTGAAACCGCTACTTCAACAATCACTGTTTAGATTTGCTTAGCCGACTTGAACTCGGCGAACATTCTTAATTATATTTGGTATATAAAACACACTCGGCGGTTTAATTATTAGGTGAGGGAAAGAATTGAATGGCGTCCACCAGGGGTATCACAATGGGATTTTACAGCCTTCGGGTGCCTCCGCACATTGGTAGCCACTCTAACCTAACCTGAAGTCAGCTTTACTTAAAGGCAAAGGGATTAGAATGGAATAGAATTTTAGGTGACCGAAAAACCAATATCAAATTTCCCGAGCACAGAGAAAATGTTTTGTACTACCCCTCATTTTCCAAACTACTTGATTGGCTATGATTGGCCCTTAAATTGGCTCCAGTCCAATTGAACGCTCCAAAGAACCACAGTTCGCCAATTAATCAGCCAGTTCAATGAGTTGAACATCACCGTGTCCTGGTATCCAAAAGGCTTAATGTTACGCCTCTTAGCACTGGTTGTGGTTGAGACCTTTTAATTTTCTTTTACGTGTAAGCAAGACTAGGGTTGCCTTTTGGGGTTGACAGCAATACCTTACAAAGTGAACCATACGCCAATCTCATTCAGCGTTCTCTGTATCTTACCATAGACCCCCCTGAGGATAGTGCACAAACATTCTCCGCGTAAGCTTGGATGTTAACGAAGTATTGCATTTCTATTAACAAGGAAACCGCTAGGCTTGGCTAGCTTCATCCCGCGCAGTCAGCAATCTTCTGGATAACATAAAGTGAGTATACTTTATGATTGTTTCGCCCACTTCATGTCTTCTTGCCACAAAGCTCATATGTAGAGTCAAATTTAGCGTTGCGAAACTCCCACTCAATATCAGAACAACTGTTCACCAAAAATATCTTGATATAATGTGCTTTTCGACCGGGCGCTCCAGACTTTTCCCCATTAGGAATGTCAGACTGTTTGGCTTTAAGCTTTTTTCCCGGTCTGGGAAAGAAGACTTCACTGACTTTCTTCCAAAGAGTGCGAACGTGAAATGCTCAGATTGGTTTGTTGTTCAGGTGAGCTCTGTGTAGTCGAGACGGCTCCTTGGGTTTTTGCTTGCGAAGGCTAGTTTTGCAGATTGGATAACGTGGAGGCAGGGCGTGCCGTATGGCTTGAGCAACAAGGGGCAACGTACTATGTGATATACTCCCTATGTAAACTAAGGGTGGAACGCATCCCTTTAAGTGCTAGAGTTGCACTTAATCGAAGCATAGTACGGACTACTACTATGTACTAGCATTCACAGCACAAACAGGTTTTTGATGCGGGTTTGGACTTAATGCCAGCCCGGAGCGGAAGGATGCGGAGCAACTCTGCTACCAAATTTTAAAGAACGATCACAGTATGTTTTACGGCAGCTTTCCCAATGGGAAATACTCTGGAGTCACTGCTAAACCTATTGCACTTAATATTTTTATACGCTGGGAGGCCCTTAAGGCCTTAAAATTCGATGCTGGTAAGATACAGTGTGGATTGAGACGGAAATTGCTAGTGGCAGAGATTTAGACTTCAATGACTTTTCAAAGCCGCAGGAGATACTAGAATATCGAGTTATCTGAGGCTGAGTGCTGGATTAACCCTTTACTTTACTGTCGACTCCAAACTGGTGCAGGGTCAGGATCTAGACTCTATTTCGGAAGTAACGGGGACAATCTAGACTTCTCTTTCTGGGGAAACATGCCTCGGTATTTCGACAAATTTACATCCCACGAGGCCATACACTACGTGGTGGAAAATATTTTAGGTGTAAGAATTTATGTGTCTGTAATGAGAGGCAAGCAGCACTCAAGGCATTGTGCAGCGTTGCAACTACTCCTAAACTAATTTGGCAATGCAAGTCTGGACTAAATTTTGTTGGAAAACATGGCGCACTTTTTTACTCTGGGTTACAGGTCACTCAGGACAACCTGGTATCGAGGCATCCAACCATTTGTCCAAAGAGGGCACGGACCTGTTATTCCTCTGATAGAATATTTCGCTCAGAAATCACTGGGAGGTTTCGGGAGGCTGCAGGTGGACAACACTAATAATTTCAGAGGGTCTTGGTAGGTATTTGCTTTCATTGAGCCTATAGAACTGCAGACAACTTGTGGTACTATTAACTGGTCCCTTCTGATGGCATAAACACATGACTTTCACTAGGATCTCAAATAGTGAAATCGGGAATTGTTTGGAAAAGTCGCACCACGCTGACGTCACTGAGCCGTATCAACTGTGGTGGCTCCCGGACATAGCAGTATTGAAGGGAATGAGTCGGCTCAGAGATGCCAATGAAGAAGCGGATAGCTCCGTACTACAACCGTTTAGTGATGACACCGTGGCCGTAACAGATGACTTGTGGAACAAACGGGAAGACTGTGGGATCAAAAGATTATTATCGCCGCGGCTTAGTAGGAAAAAGACAGGAGGGGACCTACCGAAAGACAATAGATCTGCAGTAAGAGTCCTTACCGGCGCCATCACAGGACACTGTGCTTTAGCACCAATGCTTCAACGGTGGCGAATACCAACAAGTACTCTCTGCAGAGGTTGCCATAATGAGGATGAGGAAGAGCCAATTGACCACTATCTGTGTCGATGTCTAGGTATACAGACGAAGCGACTCAGGCACTTAAATTCACGCTTCTTCAACAGTCTGGGAGAGGTAGCAAAGGTGGAACTGTTGGATCTGTAGAATATGACTTAAAGCTACTCTTTGGATTATAGGTACATACGTGTCTCCTCCTAACACTCACTAAAAGAGGGCACTCACAATGGACAATTCTGTATCCGAGTAAAGGTATGGAATATTCCACACACACCCTCCTAACCTAACCTAATCTTCCCTTCTTGCCTTGAGGAGGATGAGACTTTAAGTACTTCTGCCCCGCCTTGGCAATTGGGTATGAGGCTTTTCGCAGCGATTTCTTGAGAAACGAACACCTGAGGTCTTTAACAATCTGCTGCGATTTAACCGTAGATCATTCGAATTCAAAAATGTTCAAACGGCTTCTGAAAACAGTATAAAGACGGGGTGCTGTTTTCTCTGCTTCAAGGTATTGCTTCAGGGACGAACAACGATTGTTAGCATTCGCCATTTTAAATTCTTAACGGAGTTAAGTCGCTGAAATAACAGCCCTTGATCGGGACAACACTCCGAGCCATTCCGGGGTGTAGAACCGGCTGTAGTGGAGATGCAACAAGATTCTCAAATAGCTCGCTGGCAGACCTTGGGAAAAAGAGAAAGAAAGGTGATTGACAACATACACGGCTATTGGCCGGCCGGTTCTAAGTTATATTAGTTTGACCATTCGGTCACCTCGAACTCACAGATGCGATCTAGACAAATGTCACCCCCAACAACTGAACCCGACGATGTGCCGACTGCGATTAAGGATTTCACCGCTCTAATCAGGAATACATCGCCAAAACAGCAGCCCTTGGTGGGGAAAATCCCGACTCATTCGGGTACGTAGAACCGGCTGCCGTGGGAACAGCATGCAGTTCCTAGTAGGGTTCTACAGACGTGAGCATGCGAACAGACACTTTCTTAATGCGGCGCCTCTCCTAGGCACGTCAGAAGAACGAGGTGAAACACTACTTACAACAACCGTTGGACCGGGGATCGAACAGACAGCCTATTAACGGCATTCCGCTAATACTGAATGCACACACTCCCGTCCTATGAATGCCGTCATCAGTGTCCAATCAGCACCTGTGGACAATGGTGAGCTTCAACTGGCGCGAAGGACCCACGTAACTCTGGCCCAGTAAAGGTCTTGACATTATAGAGCGTGGTATTATCACTTGCGAAGCGAATTAAGAGGCAGAGAAGGCATTAAGAGTGTTCGCGATGGAAAGAAATTGCACAAGCCAAGCGAACACTCCTAATGCATATTTATGTTGCGTCCGTCAATCCTTGCGCTTCGCCAAATTCAATCGCTTCGCAATACCACCCTAAGTCGCTAGAACAACGATATACAGACGTTCCCACGTCGGTCGTGTCTACATAACCGGAACGACCCAGATCTGCATATGTACATATATCTGGGCAAGGACTGTGACTCTAGCTGATTCCCTAAGAACTCTTTTTTATGCTGTTAAAACATCAACAACCGTTGTGCCGACAAGCCATAGTGTCGATGATCAGAGAGTCTATTACCACCTTCACAGATTCCCCTAAAAATTTGCGTTTCATTGAAGGATTATCTTATTTTTGAATATTTAATGTATTTTATTATTATAAAGGTTTCTCTTTTAAACATACATATAAATTCTGAAATGTGTTTCATAACTACATATGTACGTAAATTATTTATAAAGCATGTATGCATGTATGTTTTTACGGCATATGTACATGCATATCTGTTTTGTGAAAAGGCTTAGGACTTAATATGCTACTTTTAATTGCTATGTTATAAATGTATAAATTTATGCACGAAATGATTTTAATTGTATCAACAAATTCGACATTTTGTCCATAATGCAATAAGACATTTATACAAAATGATGTTAACACAGCAAAAAGTGCTTTGAATGCGTCTGTGACGCGCTGCGTGTGAAAGCGATAATTTATTTATACACATACATATGTATGTACATACATAGTTATGTATGCAGTGCAGGCATAATTTTGCTAAAATATTTTTAGTGAATGCATATATGAATGTATCTAGGCGATTTATAATAAAAAAACAATATGCTCCATTATATATGTAATTAACGACTATGGTTAGTGCGATTGCCTTTGTAACGTATAAATGTAAATATTCATTAATAGTTTATATGATTACATAATCCAAATGCAAGTGTTTTTTCTTCTAATTTGCTAAGAATATTATCCTTTAGTGAAAAAAAAACTTAACAAAGGTATACATTCTACAAAAAATATTATCTCATAGAAATTAAAATATTTTCCTCTTTGTAATTCATTCAGAATTCAGTTTACGACGCTGGTGACCATTCACTTATTCACTTGGAGATGCGCGATACACACGCACACTTTAGCAGTCATTACCGGCGTCAAAAGGCGTACACCAAGCAGCCTTTTCAAGAACTTTGAAGTGTGGCTCAAGGCGGGGCAGTTTGTAGCAGCAATCGATTTCGATCTCAGATCGTTTCATAGATCATTTCCGTTTCGTTGATCGCTTAGATAGTTCTCTTATGCTTCGACTTGTCGCCACTATCACAGTTGCTTATCGAGATCGTTGCTAAATCTTCGTCTGAAGATTCTGGCGAATCCTATATACGTTTGCTCTTTGGGTGTATGAATTTACAGGATTTGCCTAAGCGACAGTGGCCGCGCATGTATGCCTTGCACACACCGCTGTTGTTGCCGCCACCACCACCGCCTCGGTTTTGTCCGCCGCCACCTGAGCGCCAGTTACCACCACTGCCACTGTTATCTTGGAAATTGGAACCTGTCCGCCAATTGCCGCTGTTATGGTTCCGATTTTGATTATTATTGTGGTGACTATTATTCATATTATTACGCTCGAAGATATTCGCTGCTGCCATATTCGCCATAACACGCGGCGCCATCATGCCCATAGGTCCAAAATTAGGTCCATTATTGAAGGGGCCTTGCGCAGGGCCATATTGGTCGCAATGCATTTGCCATTGTGGATTGCCCGCCGCTGGACCGAATGCTCCCAATAAATTCTGTTGCTGTTCTGCAACTGAGGGACCGCCTATGGCGGCTAATGGTCCATTGAAATTGCCACCTTGCCATGCTGGATGTGATCCGGCGCCCACCGCCGCAGCCGCCACCGCCGCCGCTGCTGCTGCTGCTGTCGCCACCCCTGGTACCGGTCTGGGCATCTGCATTTGCGATGCATGCATATTATTTGCGGACGCAGCAGCGTACTGCGGCATAAAAGCAGGAAATGTGTTTACGTTGTTCGGAGGTAACGACGCATTCACTTGCGCATTTGTCAGTTTGGCAGTGTTGTTGGCTATGTTATTTTCTGGGTATTTGGGCGAACCCTTCGGTTCGGGCCAAGGCATATTTGTGTAATCGCTAACGGCATCCGGATTGCCGGTGATGTCTTCCAAGGGTATGACTGGCACATCGTATGCGAAATGGGGCTCCAATTCGGCCTCCGCCGGTGAATCGGGTATCATGCTGTGCGAAAAGTAGAGCGCACGCAAAGTGGTTTGCTCACGGTCGGCTTGTACCTTACGTTGCTTCGATTGATTACCGTTCGGATGTGGTGGTACGCCATCGACTTCGATTAGTGGCCGCCATTCAGTTTGTGGCCTCATATTATCATCGTGGGTGAAGCCACGACGTGCAATATTGAAGGCATCGCGCTCACTATAACGTTCCAGATTTTTCATGTCCATAAACGATTGGGTCTTTGTCACATTCACGCGCTCATTTTCATCCAATTCAAAGTAGCGTATTTGTTCGAGATGTTCCTGCGTGCGCCAAGTCAACTTCTTCTTTCGGCCTTTGCGTCTTTGTAGCATGAGCACACCTGGTGGTCCATTCGGACCACAACCAGGTCCAGGCGGTTTGCGTGCTTCTTCCTCTTCGACAACGTCCGTTTTCGCTTCCTTTGTGGCGGCATCTTCCTCCGCATCACTGCCAGTGATATCGACTGAGCCGCTGGCGGTGCTAGGAGTGACGTCGCCATCATCTGCAGCTTTTTGTTCACGCAGCACCTTCTGTTCAATGTCCTCCTTCACCTTTTTCAATGGTATATCATCATCGTCTTCTGTGCTATTGCCCTTCTCGGCTGCATCCAAATCTTCTGTTTTGCTGTTCTGCTCTTTGACGTCATATTCTTTATCGGACTTTTCATCGCTCTTTGACTCATCCAATGTGTCTTGATAGAATTTCAAAGGTGCAACCTTGGGTCCATGAGGACTTGTGGGCGGTGAAGGACCCTCTTTTGTTTGTCCTCCGGGAGCCGGGGTAGTGGAGCGCTTGCGCTTTGTGATCTTTTTAGGGCCTGTAGCTGCTGAGAGTGCATCAGAGAAGAGATTCGTTTCGACGAGTGTTTGAACTGTAAGAGAGAGAGAGAGAGAGAGAGAGAAAAAGGTAATGTTTTTTAGTCGATCGAGTCAAGAATTGTTTGAGAGAAATTTTATGGTATTTAAAAGCGGAGTTGGTTGCTAGTTTTTGCTTTCGGAGTTGTTATAGAGGTGAAATTAGATTTCTGAAAATTGGATTAAAAATATTAAATAATATTAATTGAAAATATAATTAATAATAATAAATATTCATAGTTGATTCCTTTTCAATCCCTCGTACTTTCCAGTGACCTAAGGACATTAGTTTTACTTCTCATCTTGTTATTTTCATTTACAGTATCTGGGCAAAATTCAATCTTTACTTTGAAAAAAAAATCTATAAATATAAAGATAATGATTTGCTGAGTGCTATAACGTCAACAGTTTTATCATTTTTGCCATAATTATAAAGAAAATAATCTTTTTAAGAAGTCTTCCTGAACCAAAAACGGAATTTTTCGACAATGTTGATGCAGTTTCCTTGCAAATATCTCTGCTAAATGTTTTACAAATTCGTTTTTTTTTTGAACATTCTTCGTGCAGCCACTTTTCACTCCAGTTATCATTACGTTTGATGAAATAAAAATAAAAAGAACGCTGGTGGTAAGCCCGTAAATCGGAAAAGCTGCACACAGGCAGCATTGGCATCGAATGCGTTAAGAACCAAATACATATTTAACTGTTGCCCTTGAACTTAAGCATTTTTAAAAAACTTTAGATTCAAAACTACAAAAAAAAAATTACCATGGGAAGGACAGGTTAAATTGTGAGTGTGTTTTGAAAATTTGCGATTGCGTACTAGGCTTTATTTTATTGGAAATTGGTCTTCCCTTGAGCGCAAGAACTTCTCTCGATCAAAAATTCAAGTTTGGACTAGCAACGTTACTCAGAGGGGAAAGTCTACATTATTAGGTAACCGGTATTCCAAGTTTACCAACGGGGGTCTCTAGTAGCTGTATACCCACTTAAATGTTTGAATTCGAATTCCCAAAACAGCTAGGTCTACGCAGCCGGAACGACCCAGATCTATGTATATCTGGCCAAGGACTGTCCTTCCAGATGATCTTTTTTATGCTGCTACAATTCGATTATAATTCAGAATTAAGCCAATTGCAAGGGCGATAAGCCTTTTCAAAGTTTGAAATAGTCCAAGAATGAATGTGGAGTTCTCTATAGAGGTTCACCGAAAAATAGATAGTTCTGTAAATTAACTAAGTGGCTTCGAGTGAAACTTGTAGCTTCGGATAATGCTTGAAGGATTAAAAAAACTTAAAGGAATGCAAGCAGTTTTTCAATAAGAACCTAAGGGGCTGTGGCTAAATTGATCGCGGTCCGATTTTACATAAAATCTATGAAAAAGCTATCACAGCAACCGATTAGCTGCGAACATAGCATGTCGCGCACGCTCTGTAAAGGCATAATGAATCCGAATTACTACGAATGTGTTCATTCAAAGTACTATATGCTAGGTTCGTAGATTTTCGGAATCAGTAAAAGCAATTTCGTAATTTCCCGAAAATTCAGACTACTATGGGTTCGGTGATAGCCCTGAGAATTTTCGTAGATGCCATGGAAAATCTGACTATAGTACTCCCCGCTTAAATTGCACAATTTTTGGTTCAATTAACAAGGGAATCAATTAAAAGGGAAACATGAAAGTATACCTCTTTCCGATAGCACATATTTTTAACCAATTATGCGGGGAACCAATTAACCGGGGCATACTGTGCTAGGGATTCGATAATAGCCCCGAACAGTAAGATGACTTTTGGAGCTAATATTTGAAACCAACCAAAAAAAAAAAAAAAAAAAAAAATTAAGTGCTCGCAGATTTTAGGGGAGGGTTCTTGAGTTTTAATCAGGCAAACGGGAGGAAAATTGTAGCAGCAAGTAAAAACCGTACAATCGAAATAGAAATAAAAAATCGCAAGAACTGTGCTGCCATAAAGCAACTAAAAAGTCTTTGAAGAACGAAAGATCATTGATTTTCAACAGTTTGTTTTAGATTTGCGATTGGGTATCATTACTGAAGGCAAAATCTGGACGTTATTGCCATATAAGATAAACTCATCCTTCGTACTTGCAGTTTCTGTCGAACTCAGTAATTTGAAACAAGGACGATATTGCAATTTAGAAATGCAAATATAAGGAACGAAGTTTGAGTCTTAAAGAGAAGTAAATATAGGAGCCATCCCTAGTAATATTTTTTACTCAGAAAGTTATAGTTCGTCGATTAGACGGGCACATTAGGCTTTGAAACTAAAATTTGGGGTATTGTTTGGAGATAAGCTGTATGTTAAGGGATATGAATGAAATTGGAGATTATGACCTAAATGGCATTTTCGATGTTTTGCTTTTTTTTTGTCAATTGAAGATTTGAATAAGCGGAGATACTATGGAAGTGATCTTCAAGGATCAAAACACACCTGAAATCGAAATAGACAGCGCCACCACTTAACTCATCGATTTTTCGTAAAAACCCTATCACTGGGTATATTTTGAATGCGCGTGTTCGTAGCAATTCGGATTCTGCGATCGCATTTTCGTAGATTTCACGAAAATCGGTTACGCTGGATTCAGTGCTACCGCCGAATAAATGGAAAAAATGCGTGGCTTATGATATTAGCTAGAGGTTAGATCACCAGAAGATCTTACTTATGGTATTCGCGCCGGGAAGACAAATTGGGGAAATTATGCAGCTCACAGCTTTAGCTTTAAAACTTAACGAGGATCCATAGATGTTATGAAACGTTAGGGCGTTTCGAGTTCCACATAGCAGTAGTTTTCAAGATTTTCCAAACGGTTTGAGAAATGTATATGGTGCTACAACAACAAATAGGTATTACTGAAGTAAATAAATCACTTGTATTTCTTTCCAGTCCCCAGTCGTGTGGCCTCTAAATTCGAGAAAATTATAGACCTATTTGTAAGCATATTAAATGAAAACACGCTCTAGGTCCACGAAGCTTGGCAGCAATCAGAAAATTTTGGCATACGTATATTGAGAAATTGTTGCAATACATATGTATGTAATGCATGACGCACCTCTTGTGCATGCTTCAACAGTGTGTGTATGAATGAATCTTACTCAAGAAAGAATTTGATTGTATGTACAGTGTTGATGAGAAAAATAAATAAAGAGCAACTATTTACAGAAATCGCTGCTAAAATGGCATCACATGCAATGACCTAAGCGTTCTGCTTGTTAGTATGACAAAAAAAAAAAAAAAAAAAAAAACGATCGATCGAAAAGGGTTTTCGAATTACGCATATTCGTCTCGCTTTTAAATCATATTGAAGGAACTTTCTAGTATATGCATGTATTTAATAGAGTAGTAGTAGTTGATTAAAGGTCTTCTAGCCTATCAGTAGCATTGAGCAGTCTACAAGGCTATAACTAAAATTTTCAAATGACTGACGGAGCCCGACAACGCATTCTCTAAGCAAAACCCTTATTCCGCATAGTATATCTTTCCGCATAGTTTCCTAAATCAAGATTTTTTGACAATGCTAAAATAGGCATTCATACAGATTCTGCAATTCACTTCCGAGTGAATTTCACCAGTCACTTTGAATTTAAATTGAGTGGGGTGGAAATTCACTCGAAAGTGAATTGTTAAACCTGCCGGATATGTTATAGGAAAGCTGAACGTCAGGCTAAAAGCACATTAAGAGGTTACAATCTGACAAGATACAGAAACTAAGAATTATTACAGGATTTTTGACGGGCCACTGTAGGCTCAGAGGGCATCTGTAGAAACTAGGTATCTGGTCCAGCGATTTGTGTCGCTTCTGCGATGCGGCCAAAGAGACTCCCCTACATCTTCTTATGGAGTGTGAGGCCGTTGCACGCAGGAGGTATAGGAGCATAGGGCACGTCTGGCCAAGAGAGGAGCACATACCCTCACTGTCCCCGGGGTCTATTATGAAATTTATAGACACCCTGGGGCTGGTTGAGGTGTTGTTATGAGCTAGGGGCACAATAGACCTACCGGTCGCAGTGCCTCACCCAACCAACTAACTAACTAACTATAGGAAAGCTGTAAGAAAAATAATTTTCTAGTGCTATATATATTTTCTTTACTAAGATCTGCCTTGAAGGGACTTGGCCAGGTTATAGCATAGCAATTATGGTTTTATTCATCAGGGTCTTGAGTAGATCAGACATGGAAAATCTTCACTACAGGAATTAACAAAAATATTACTAGAAAGGGTTCTTTAGAAACTACTAGGGTGCACAAAAAGCTCTTAGTTAATAACTGAATAATTTAGATAGTATTGCTTAAATAAGGTCATCAGAAACTAAATTAAATATTAAAAACTTGAATTTTACGCTGAAAAAGGTGCAAAAATTAAGACTGCCGCGTTCATTATGGTTTTAGAGCTAGACGAGGTTGTCGGATGAGTTTTTCAGAATTTATGGGTAGTAGCTGGATAGAGCGAGCCTCGATAGATTGATAGAAAAACTGAGCAGTGTCTGTCTGAAAGCCAATTTCATTGCATCTCAGGGGCTGTAAATTAGCCAAGGTGGTTGCTTTTAGCATCTAAAAACAATAGGGGTATTCTCTGAGTCCTGCAAAGCCCTTGCACGGTGCACGGATTGCACGGTTTGCAAAGCTGACCCATGCGAAAACCGGTTTTTACCGTGCAATCTGTGCAAGGTGCAAGAGCTTTGCAAGACTCAGAGAATGTGGCACAGAGGGCATGCAAAAGACTATTATTAATCTGGTGTTAAATTTCGATAATAAAAACTGTGGAAATTGTATCTAAGCAGGCGCTAACCCTATTCAGCTCGATAAGTTGTGATACAAGTTATGTCAAGCCTTACTTTTTAACGAATCATGCATGGAGGGGAGAATAGCCAGACTTTTGCATAGTATGGTTTGAAAACGTGTTTCATTTGATCTTAGCAGTCATTGAAGCGGCTGAAATTGCTCGATAGTAACAGTAATGACCAAAATAATTGAACTCGCAGGAACGCATCCGGTGAAGTGGTTAGTAGAAATAAACCCCTTTCATTTAGATACTCTATAATCTTATATATCGTCGATGTTTTTGCAAAACCGCCCAACGCCCAATTGCAAAACCGCCTATCTTACGGCACTCAAATTTTGCAGGAGGCCGGAAAAACGGTTTATTCTTTGAAGGCATTGCCTTGATAGGCGGTATTTACTCTAGCTATTCACCCCTATTGCGAGTGTCGACTAGTAGTAGATAAACGACTCTTATTCGATTATCGCTTTTCCATGGTATTGTGAATGTCGATTTCTCGTTGAATAAGCAACTATGAATAGTTTTTTATCGCTCATTTTTCTACAACTGTTTGTTTGTAGGAGGATGAGCGACTATAAACTATTAACACGCACTTATTGAACGAGAAAACAACTTTGAAAAAACCACGGATAATCGATAGTCGACTAACAATCGTTTATCTACTACAAGTCGACACTCGCAATAGGGGTGATTATGTTACAAATCTGTTGTTTTAACATCAATTTAACGGTTTTTATGCATAAATCTCGATGCCTAAAGTTCAGGGTTAACAAATCTCATTTTTGCCACAACGCCGATTGAGGCGGTTTTGCAAAAACATCGACGATATGTAAGACTAAATTCTAGTATAACTGTCAAATAATAAAAATGCGCGTAGAGCGGGTAAAGTATCGAGTTCAGGGGAAAACAGGTAAAAAATTAGTTTAAACTGCGGGCGGGTTCGCAACTATAATCTTTCATAACCTCAAAATGATATACTATTTTCGAATATAGTAAGAATTGCGACCGGTAGATCTATTGTGCTCACGGCTTATTACAACACTGCATCTAGCCCTAAATACTCCATAAATTTTAGAATAGACATTTTGCTTCTCGCTACGATATTTTTTTATTTATTTTAAGGTAACTGAATTTTGTATGCGCTTTCCGTTCCATTTAAACAGATGTGAACACTAGATTTAAAAGTTCCGCGTGTGCGCTCAATGCAACGCTAGTCTAAGGTGATATGATTGTTAAAGGCTTTATTGAAAGCATTTAAAAAAAAAACGTAATTCAAAAGCGTAAGTAGTAGTTGCGATTGTTATGTTCCACTCATATTCATTGCATGTGAGACCTCTAGCAAGAACTGGGGTGTAACGCACATTGAGACTCGAGTTTGATGAAAGATAGATTCGTATTTATTGGAATACCTTGACTGGACCCAAAAAAGTTAGGTTAATGTGGCGTCACTCGGCTTTTTATACTTTTGGTTATAACAAGTTAATTCGTTGCCAATTGCGTACCTTTGCAACGCATGTGATGATACGTGTTTGCCCATTTTTCCTATATCATATACACATATCGTGAATTCATGTTGCCATTCTGAATTTTAGACTGCTTCCAAACTTTGAAGACCATCAGCTCAAATCATTGTTTTTATTTTGTTGAAAAGAATTGTTTATTTTTCACCAACTCTTTGTCTTATGTCTTATGTTAGGTTGCATATCTTGCTTATTTTTCAATATTTTTTTCAGTGTTTGTATACTTATTAACTAAAAATTGAAAATTTTCACGTGACATTACATTGCAATGTAATGACACTAATAGAACCACTAAATATTCAATATGAATATATATGTTAGAAAATATAAATAAAATGCATACTTAACATCCGGTCTCCACAAACCATGTCTTCACTGAAAGCGTCGTCTCGATTTGCTCGTCGTTTTAAACTCGTTAATAACAAAAAATTAAATAAAAATTAAATGCGCTCAGAAATCGATGTTGAGCACATCATTTGAACTTATTAAACCGCCCGGCAACTTATCCAGCTCAACCGTCTTTCATCACACGCATGTAAACATATTTTAGGAGTTTGATTGAATACGTTTTTTTAACACAAAGTGACCAGATTGGCACTTTCCTATCTGTTCAGCAACTTGCAGTTGATTGATGTATGAAGCCCAGAAGGACCAGGCGCCTCCAATTAGCTCCTTTTTTATGCTCGATCCACTGATTGTGGCTTTAGTCTTCTGTTTCTGGGCGTTCAAATTTAACTGACACTACAGTATTATTAATGTTTCTTTCAGAAGGGGGCATACGCAAATATAAAATTACGAAAAAATTCGTTCTCTTAAGTCAATGATCTCTACCTGACATAAGTTAGAGTAGGAAAACCAATAAGCCATTTTTTCGAAATCTCAAATGTATGCGCATGCATCTAGCCCGGTGGTGCACACGGCAGCTCTAAAGGCTCGCTGGGTTTTCACGCACATATCGATGTGCACCACTGATCTAGCCCTTCTCGTTTCATGTTACATACATACAATCACTTTGAAACAGCACAACTTCGATTTAAGCACCGCATGCTTAAATTTTTACAAACAGCCAATATATGTAACTTTACCGTAGCTAAATTGATCGATTTTTTTGTTTGTTTTTTAATTTAAACACAAGCAAAAGTTAAATTACCATCGCGTTAGAGACCATCAAAGTGTTTGACAAAATGCCAATGTTGCTTCTAGTCTATACAGGATTTTTGGACAACAAAGACAAAGAAATTCAGTTCCAATGTTCCCCGCAGTCCAATGACGAAGCGTGGTGTTGCCAACACTCTAAAAAAGCTGACAGTCTACATTATTGCTAGATTGTACGAGATAACACTTTTAGAATTATATACATAAAAAACCTCAAACCGCAAAAACTAGCATCATCCAAACTCCTGAAATGAGACTGTGCAGAATGCCATTAGTAAATGTCGTAATGCATTATTCTTACTCTTTTTGGGAGCGATGAGTTTGATGGCTCCAGGTTTCTCGTTAGCCACAGACAGGTTGTTCATATCGATCTTGGATTTCTTCTGTGTGGGCGAATCACTACTTCTAGGTGGTGGTGAAGGCCGCTTCAGCGATGAAGGCAAACTTGCAGGAATGACAGTACCAGGCGCTGATACAATCGATATTGGTTTCTTCAAACCTTTCCGTGACGGCGGTGGTGGCGCTTCTTCAGTCAGACCATGCGAACGAAACTGTGATTTGTACGTTTTAACTGTTTTGGTCTTTTCCGAATCGCGTCGAATTTCAATCGACATTGATGCCTTTTTTGAGGGTATTGTGATTGAAGCAGGTTTAACCGTTTCGGATTCTGATTCATCCTTAGGTTTCTTTGGAATACGACCTAATTTATCAATAGATGGTTGAGTCAACTTGCTAATAGTGTCTTTATCTTTCTCCGCTTGTATTTCTTTTTCGCGCTCCTTATCTTTTTTGTGGGATGTAGTTGTTGAAATTGAAGATGAAGAAGAATTGGACGATTTATCTTTGTCTTTATCGCGGTGTTTGTCTTTTGAACTTGTTGACGATGAAGACTTAGATGATGAAGATGACGATTTATGTGTATTTGAGCAGCTACCCTCTTTCCGATCTTTGTCTTTGCTGGAACTTGAACGCTCCTTGTCACTGCGATGCTTATCGCCAGAACTGCGGTGTGATGATGACGATGATGATGATTTTGACTTACTCGAAGAAGAGGTTTTCGATTTATGACTCGATGATTTATGGCTGGAAGACGATGACTTTCGATCTTTTTCTCTATCTTTATCAACTTTTTGTTCTTTTTCTTTATTTTTGCTTTCATTTCCCTCGTTTGAACTTTTAGCTTCTTTAGTTTCTGATTTGTCACCTTCAGAATCTATGGTTTTTTCCCGATCTGAAGACTTTTGTGCTACATCAACTTTATCAATATAGGGCGGAGTCCGAGTCTCATCGTCAGCACTGCTTTCACTTTCTTTGCCTGGTTTATCAAGTGATGTTCGAGTCTCCTCTTCCTCTTCTACCACCGTGGCGGCAGCTCCGCTCTCAACTTCTTCCTCCACTTCCTGTTCCTCATTTTCAGGCTCAGCTTCGACATCGCCTTCGGCGTTATGATCCACTTCTACTTCACCTTCAGCATTTTCAGCTTCAGCTTCAGCCTCATCTTCAACTTCTTCTTCAACATTATCTCTCTCGTTCTCTTCTTCATGAACGACTGTTGGTGTCACTTGCGCGGCCTTTGGCACTTTTGCCAAAACTTGCTGACCATCTTTAATAACTAGTTTGAATACCAAACCGGCTTCGTTAGCTTTCTTTTGAGCCGATGTTGGTGTATAACTAGATGTTTCAGTTGGTACATCTGCAACATCAGCTAAAGGGTCCTCTTCTACAATATTTGATGATGACTGCCTTACTACTACAGGCGCCTTAATTTTAATTGGTTCTGCGGGAGGTGGTATAATTTTTGGTTCTTGCCGAACGACAGGTGTTGTTTGAACACTTGCAGCTGCAGGTTCATTGGTAATTGTCTGTTGCTGAGCATTTTCAACTTGAGCGCTCGTTGTATTTTCAGTTACCACCTTCAACCACTGTTCCACCAAACGTTTCGCAAGTATTCTGACGCCTAAAAATAATAAAAAAAATATTTGTTTTAAATAAAACGAGTCTATTGGTTATCCAAATTGTATTAAAAAAAATTCAATTGAATTAGAATATAGTTTAAAACCAAAACTGCTAATAATAAATTTATATTCGCCGACACAGATTATAAAGGTCAAAAGAAAATACAAGGAATTATGTAATAGTTTTGCAATTATCAGCTTTTGCTGGTGAAACTGGTTTTAGAAATACCTTCTGCGACGATTGTGCCAATTTTAACATTTACCACCGAAAATGCAGAAGACTTTAGCTGACAGCAAAGTGAAAGAAATTGTCAAAATATGACAACTTTTATATGTATACAAAAACAAAATATGACAGTATGTAAACGCCAATGTACACCCATGCAAAAAAAAATATAACCTATTTCCACGAACCACTTCTCCCTAGGTAGCAATTGCATTTTTTTTCTATATGTAAACCAAACGCTTATGACTCTTTTGAAGAAAAACAAAGATTCTTCTCAAAGTTTTCAAAGGAAATTAATTCAGTCCTTCATAAATGTAAAATTACTGTAATTTCTTCATTCAGACGATATACACACAATTGGTACTAAAATTTACCTTCATTGCCGCCATCCCTGCAAAGTCCTTTCACCAACTTTGGTGCAGAGTTTATCTTCAATCTATCCACATCAACAGGACAAAGTAAGAGTAATTCTAATATTTCCTGCACCAGTGGCCAATTCATAGCACGTATAGCGTCGTTCAACCAGTTATAAACCAAGGACCAGCCACCGACCCCCATAAATTCACCGAGTAACTCAGTTTTTGTAACTTTTAAAATTTGTACATAAATGCATTTTGATACTAGTTTCTTTGAATATCTATTCATTAATCTGAAAGCAAAACAATTCAAGGGTTAAGACAAATCAAATAAATCCTACAGCGAATTCAACTCTGGTATTTTATATTACAAGAGAATTCGAACACATTACGCACAGTTGCATTGCAGACCATGAACCAAAAAGACAAGATCACGCGGGCTGGAGACTAGTCCGTTAGGATCAAGAATGATAGAATACAAGATTGCGCCGATTGCAGCAGAATTCGTG